GGCAGCAAAGCAAGGTGAAAAGGAAACTCAGTGATTCTTGTGCTTTTGGCCGCCGCGTGCTCGCTTCACTCCTCCATTGGCGTCTGCTTCCTTTTGCCGGTTGCTGCGATCGTCTTTCGGTGGGGGCCTGGAATCGAAGCAAAACTCAATCACAGCAAGACAAGCACCAAAAGAGGGAAGCGATAAAATGCAAACTTCGCTTGTCTTAATGATTGAGGCGAGGAACCCATCCGGTTCACGCGGCTTCATGGAACTCGACTGAGGCTTCTCCTTGTCATTGTCCTCATCTGCACTCTCCTCCTCGAACGGAGGCTCCTTGTCGTCGTCATCTGCTGGCTTAGCCGGGGCCGTTGGGGCCGGGGCCTTTCGTTTAAAGCCAGGCTTATTGACCACCCTGGCATACAACTCGATCATCTGGTTGTCCACATACTCGAAGGTCATGATCTTGCACAACGTGAGCACGGACCTGTCCGAGGGAGACGGTGGCTTCCGACTGTCCTCCGGCGCAGTCTTCCCAGCAGGTTTGGTCCAAGGCTTTCCATCGGTCATATCCTTGATGTCAGACTCTCTGACCACGCCGCCGGCAGGCGGTCCTCCCTTCACCGTCCCCGCAGCCGGGCGTGCAGGAGGCACCCTGCTCGAGGCGGGACCTTTGCTGGGTTCTGCATGACGAGCCGGAGGAGGAGCCTCTTGTTTCTGCGGCTCCGGCTGCTGCACACCCTGCCCAGATTCCATTTCTTTCTTCACTTGCTCTGCAATCATCTGGGCAAAATTTCCCGGCAACACAGCTTGAGCCTCAGGCTGAGGCTTGGGTCGAGCCGCCTCCGCCAGAAGCTGCTGGAGTATTGCATGGCTGCCGCCGAAAGCAGGCTGTGGGGGAGCTGCGGTGGGAGCGGCGGGCGCATTCGCCTGCACCTGAGCCACGGCCGTCAAAAGCTGCTCTATGCTGAAAGACATGGGCGGCACGGCTCCCGGTGACTCCTGGCCTGAAGCTTTGAGCCACAATGCTACACAACCGAAACACGTTCCTCAAGCTGCAGCACGATCTCTTGTCTTCGCAGGCAACTGCTAAAGCTTGAAGCAAACATACTGCATTCTGAAACTTGGAAAGCTTCGCTCGGCAGGCGTGCAAGCTGGAAAAACCCTCTGTTTTGGCACTTCGAGGAAGCAGCTGTGAATCTACCACCAGCCCTTGCCGCCGGGGTAGTACTGGCCCTTGTGGCCCTTCTGTCTCTTGTTACTGCTACCTTTGTTGCCCTGGTTCCACTGTGCTTCCCAAGCGTGGAGGCTATCTTCCTTGGCCTTGAGCCGGTCTTCCTTGGCCTTCAGGTTGTCGTGCCAAGCATCTAGCTGCTTCTGCGTCGCCTCCACCTTCTCCTCCCGACGGGCCACTTCGGCTTCCCTGGCCTCCAGGGAGCACTCCTTCTCGGACTTCTTCCTCTCCAAGTAGCCGCCCAAACGATCGCACATCTTGTCGAGCACCTGGCGGGGGATCTCGTAGTCTGTGGCACGGGAGGCCATGGTGCACAGCCCACACAACCGCAGGGAGCTGCGAGACAGAAGGCTGCAGCAAGAACGTTCTTGCAAATTCTACATTGCTGAATGCAAATGCGCTGGCACTTGAGTAAGCCCCATCGTGCACAAGCAGCAGAAGTCTCCTTGGCTTGCTCTTTGAGTAGCTCCTTGATCTCCGCCGCAAGCTCTCCATCGTTCTTCCGAGCCTTCCTGCGAACATGCAAGAATCAGGAGGAGCTTCTATTTCTAATAATATTCAACAAAACGTCCTGTGATTCGGTCCTGTCTGCAGTCTTCTTCAGAGAGCGAAGCAACGGTGTCACTTCGTGCAACTTTGTCGCGTTGGTGATGTTGATTTGGGAAGGGTTCTTCCCACAAACTGAGCTGCTGCAGTATCTGACAAACGACCGCAGATATGCAATGGCGCCGGTGCGGCATAGTCTGACCGATGTATATTTTTGGACAAGCGACTGAGGCTGCATAGCTTGGCCATCCGCCTCTTCCATGTCATCCCTGCCGCCAGTGCCTTCAATCAAAAAAGAGCAAGGAGGAGAGCAACAGAACAAACTGATGGAACCGACCAACCAATCAACCAGCCTGGTTGAGAGCCTGATTCTGATTGTGCTTGTCCTTCATTCTCTTCATCCCCTTGGCCTTGTTGATCAGAAGGGCCTCCTTAGGTGGAGAACACGGTAGCAATCCCATGAAGCAAAGAACTCGTGCAATTATACAGGCCTACTCCGAGACACAAGTCACAGAAAGCCAACAGATCCTGTCATCTGGAACTTACTATATGTACTTGCGAAGCTAGCAGCTAGCTAGCAGGAAGGGGCGACAGGATGGTAAGCAGATACAGGCAAGGTGCGGTTTCGCCTCCGACCGCCATAAGTTCCGCAGCGGGCAGATGCTTGGTGAGGTTACACAAGCAGACGGCCACTTGTCTGGCACTGAGGTCTTCAAGCCTCACTTGCTTGGGAGCCCTCGAGATTTCCTTCAGTCCCACTCCAAATATCGATACGATGTCCTCAAAGTCCTCCTGCTCCTCCGACTCAGTCTCGGGAGATTCGCTGCTGGAGCCTTGCTTGCTCAATGACACAAATCAAACTATGAAAGCCTGGAAACCTTTGGGCAAGGTGCTTTTCTTCGTCTTCTTGCCCCTCTTCTTGTCCTTCTTCTTCGCGCTGGAATTCTTGTCCTCGGCACCTGCAGGCTAGAACTCAAAACACCATTTGTTCAAGAAGTGCTGAAGAGAAAAAACTCAAAGCCACTGTGTGGCCTGGAACAAGAGCCTCTGCCAGACGCTTGTGAGCACTTGACATCAGAAAGCGGGAAGCTGCATCTTTGTCCTGTTCGGGCTCCGGTTCCAGGGACCTCGTAGAAAGTGTCCTGGCGGACGGATGCGATGTCTGCTAGACACCTGATACACTAGAAACCGAGGCTACAGCAAAAATGAATATATAGTATTGGCAACAAACTTCTCCTGGTCAAGGTTTTGCGCATTCCGACGGCCAAGACAACGCAGGGACGAAGAAGTTCCAAGGGCCCGGGCACGAGGCTCGAGCAGGAGTCGGAAGGAATCATGTCATTGATCTGCCCTCCAGGTCGCGGCTAGTCCGCAACACCAGAGCCTATATGTCGCGGCTAGTCCGCAACGCCAGAGCCTATGTCGCGGCTAGTCCGCAACAGTCGCATATATACCGCAACATCACAGGCCACAACAAAACAGTGCATAGTAATTCACCGGCGGACTAACCGCCAGGTGGCCGCATTGATCGATTCACGTTGCTGCTATATCGTATACGACACGGAAGGCTGGGGTTTCTTTGCGGCAAACAGCACAATCTCGGTGAATCTGCTCTCGCATATTTTCCGAGCAGCTGAAGCCCTTCACTCATGTTCGCGGATGCCAGCACCACACTCCGTGGATTCTGACAGAATCAGAAGGCGACAGCCCAAAATCCGGAGGTCCAGGAAAATCACTTGCCGTAGACCTTTCCTCAATTGCAAAAGCCGTGCTTCAACAACCAATCCTAGGAGAAATGAGACTCTGTCCTCGCGGTTTCTTTACCCAGAGCAACCCCTGAAACAACCAGATAGGCCAGGTCTCCGAGAGCCGATGGCCTGCAGTGGCTTATATCCTGCTGCATGTCTCGACAAACACAGATGCTGATACTTCACATGGTACTAGACTTGAAGCGAACTCGTGGCTGTGTTGATTCATGAGTTTGATTGAGCACACGGGTGCTTCAAACGGCCCGGAAACAAACCTTCGCTAAATCTAGGAATAGCAACTCTAGAAACTAAAGAACTTTCCAGACAGTCCTCGAGGCCCAGGAGAGGGGTCTCAATCAATCAATCCTCATCCGACTGACTTGCCTCTTCCTTAGGAAATGTCGTGAACAAAACGACATCGTAAGAACCAGATCACAAATCACATGGCTCGAGCAGAAATCCTCCAGCCAGATCAGAACGGAGCGTCAAACGGACTTGCTATCAGACAAGACACCAACATCTCCCAATCCGCGTGCAAGCCAGGGGCGGCATCGTCGTCGATGTAGTCCTTTTTCGCCGAATATCAACTCTCCACAATGTGAATATATTTCAGTTAAGTTATACACTCCCGGGGAGAGTATCTGAGGATGTTACTATCCTGCCAAATGGTCTGTGCAGGAAAAGAGACGCCGATGATTCAGACAAACACATCCCGATCTCTTTCAGCCGCAACTTTTCTCGCAGAGTCGCGGCTAGTCCGCGACCCTGGAAGAAGGGTCGATGTACCTAGAAATCGCGGCAAGTCCACTGACACCAACACACAATAGTAGCTTCGCTGCCCATTCTTCGCCTAATCTCGCCTAATCCACGACCCTGGCTTCGCGGCTAGTCCGCGAATGCCGGCTCACCACAGTATACTAGCTTCGCTGCCCATCCCTCGCGGCTAGTCCGCGTTTTGAACGGTAGAGGCTTCGCGGCTAGTCCGCTGATGCCGACTCACGACATGACTAGCTTCGCCGTCCATCCTCCGCGGCTAGTCCGCGATGTTAAGGGTTTGGAGGCTTCGCGGCTAGTCCGCTGATGCCGATTCAGGACAACACTAGCTTCGTGGCCCATCCTTCGCGGCTAGTCCGCGTATCATACATAGAAACAGTCAATGCCGCGACAGGCCGCGGGATGAAGAGGATCTCCTGGTTACTGCATGTCTCTGAGACTGCCACTGGACACACCCAGAACACGTAAATCATTGAGAACCGATCCTCATCCGACGAAGTCTCTGTCTGACATATTACATAAAAATCTCTATCTTGCCAACACTCGAAGGAACTGAACTGAAAAACCCGCTCAACCGTCTTAAGTAGGAAGGGCCTGCCCAGGAGGCTTCGGCGGCATCATCTGGTGAACCTGAAACAAGGATGTGACGTCAGTGCCCCACGTGTGTGAGAATGGCTTGGGTTTTCAGCATCAAACTATCATCAGACTTGAGTGTGAGTTTATGGAACACACAAACCGCGGACTTCGGCTTTATCATTTGCACCGCAACAATCCGTATTTGCGGTATTCATGAAGCAAATACGATGACAGGCAAAAGCAAATGCACATCTGGCCTGCAGGGCCTGCACGTTCAGAAGGGCCAAGTTCCACGACCGGGCATCATACGTCTTCTCCCGCCGGATGTCCAGCATTCGCTGGTCATCCTTATCCTTGGATGAGGAACGAAAACAACCCAAAGCAGGAAAACATCTGGATAAGCCTTGACGATGGGTGTCTAGATTGGGTGTGAGACAAGCGACCAGCGAAGTCAACATCCCCACCAATGTTCTCAGCAAAGCAGGCGCCTTCTCGAGCACGTCGTTCGGATTGTGGCTGCTTCGCCAAGATAGCAGCGTGCCAACCTTGAGGATTTCGGGAAGCGCAAACTGTAGCAGTAGCAGATCGGACACGCAGCAGCCATGACAGCCAGGCGACAGCACATCCCAAAGTCTTTGTGTAGCCCTTGCACGCCCTCAGGTCGCCTCTTAGCGAGGCTGATCTCATCGTCGTCGCACGGTTCAGAAACCTTAGCTTGTTCGCAGTTGAAGTTTAAACACCGACACCGCATGACCCATGTGGGCTGCCCACACTTCAGATGGTCAGCCGAGTGGCAGATTGCGCATGTCAAAATGCTTGGAAACTGCGACCAGGGCCCGCATGAGATACAAGTCGGTACCGACCAAGGCAATCGGCTGCCTGGGATGNNTGTCGTCTACCTGGGCACTAACATTGCCATCCTATCTCTGGCTTACATTATACAGCCTGGCAGCATCAGATTGTGGGCAAAAGCTCCCAGGAAGAAGCAGTTCTTCTCGCTGTTGGTTGCGTCGATGGACGCCTCAGAGAGAAGAGTGGAGGTCCTATATTATATGCAGAATTGATTTGTTCAATTTCTACAGTTACATGTCGCGCAACTCCTAGTCTTCTAGAAAAGTCGAGGCACCAAAATCGGAGCCTCCTGAAACAGCCCACTGGCGCGGGGCTGCTCCGTGATGCTGAAAACACCTATGTTCCAACATAGTTGCATCATGTGTGCCTCCCACTCCTCAGCTTGTGGGCACGACTGGTTACCCGCTTTGAAACCATTGGCCTACCCGGAACAAATCCTGCCCAAGTTTCAACGAGGCCGGCGAGTCGTTGGTCTTTCGGCCGCCCCGCGATCCTGTTCCTCAGATACTGATGGTTTATTGTTACAAATATCTTTATATATATATATACATACATACATACATACATATATCTACACGCACACATGTTCCGAACTCAACGTGTCACCGACTCCTCAATGCCCAGATTCTCCCTGGGTGCAACCTTCTCAGGGGATGACCATCGCAGTCCTCCCATCCGGACTCTGAGCAAGATGGCCAAGCCTAGGCTGCGAACCCCGAGAAGATTGAGAGTGCAAGGCACATCTATCCTGAAAGCCGAAGCCAGCAATATATCAGTCCAGTAGCTATCAACCTTCTCATCCCATCTCGCCAAATCACCCGCCATGCATGCTGCTGACAAGCCCGCCTCAGTGGCTTGCTTGCAGATTCTGCTTCGAAATCAGCAAGGAACTACTCTAGTCAAAATAGAACTTTTGCTTCTATATTCGTCTTAGGTGCGACAACGCACTCATCAGCAAGGACGTGCTGCGAATCGTCCAAGCACACCAGTGCCACGTCAAGGTCTCTGCTTTCGGACTGGGGCAACATGTACTCGGGTCGCAGGGCCACCGGATACATCTCAATGATCATAAACTTAAGCCATGGCGGCAAACCCCTCAGCACAGGATGATCCATTGCTCCTACGTCAAAATCTCGCAAAATCTCGAACAATAACGGCTTTTGCAGACGACTCAAAACCCATATGAAGCACGCAAAGCCCAGATGAAGCAGAACCATGTTTCGAACTGGAACGCTTGTTGAAGTGGAACGGCTTGGGAGGGCTATGACTAGTTAGGCCCTAAACTCTGAACCCTCACCCCCCGTAAACTCTACATCCTAAACACCAAAACTAGTTCATGGTTGGGATAGAATTAGAAATTCAACTCTTATTCCATATGGGGTTTCAGTACGTAGCCATAAAAATGTAAAATGTTACCCAGCTATGACAAAGAAGAAGAGTGCAGCGTGCCTCGTAGCTCAGATACGTCCCGGCCTGCTCAGGTTGCTGGAGGCTCGAGGGACTTTGGGAGGAGCTCTGGGGCTTTTCATTGGGGTTTAGGGTCTAGGGTCTGGGGCTTTTCATTGGTTTTTTTAAGTGCAATGGAGGTTTAGGCTTTAGGGGTTAGGGCTTTTCATAGGGCTTTAGGGGTTCGTTGAATCATTGGGGCTTTGGACTTTTAGGGGGGTTTGGGGTTCCTCGCTTTCTTGGAAAGCTCTTTTTCCGGGTCCTTTGTGCTAGGAGGGAAAGCGAATAGGGTTTAGGGTTTAGGGTCAGCCAGTTCCGGACTTCGAGGTTTTAGGGCTTTGGGGTGTTGAGTGTCGAGGTCATAGAGTCTAGAGTTCGAGGGGTTTATAAGCAGGACGGCGGAGGCTTTGGAAAGAGTGGGGTTTACAGGGGTGTTGTCTGCGAGTTTTCAAGGATTTCGCTGTTCAGGGTTTTGGGTTTAACGGATTTCGGATCTTTGTATCGGTTCAGCCGCGCAGGGATTTGGGGTATGGAGGGCTTCTTGCTCAAGGCAGTGCGTGCGATATGCGGAGGGTCGAACCCTAAACCAACAAGCTACAGATCAAAAACCCCAAGCCAACAGTCGCTCTATAGAACCCAAGAGCCCTTCATGAGACCTTTTACTTAGAGTTCACTTATCCAAAATCCCTGAAAACCCAAACCCCTGAACCCTAAACTCGTAAACCCTTAAACCTTGAACCACAAGTGACACTGAGTGTGCCTCCTGTTGGAAGGCGAACGTCACAGAGCTGCCCAAATGCTCCTGTTACCGTCTTAAGAGAGCTTGGGGTTGTGAGGTTCTAATAAGTGTCTATAAGGTTCGATCTGGTTTGTCCTGTGCACTCACTTTTCGAGGTGCGGTACCAGAGGGGAAGGGTAATACCACAGGGCCCAGAAGGGGAAAATGCATGGCGCTTCATGTACGACTCCTTTGGGCCGCAAACACGTAGCCAGCATAGAATTTCTAGCAAAGTCGTGTACTGACAAGGAGAACACTTAAACAATGTAGGGGCCTAACAACTAGTAACTAGACCAGGGCTCAAGGAAGCTTTGCACATGTCTGCCGCGGCTTCGGAGAGTTCTATACTGTAGTTCTGTAACGTTTCTAAGCAGCCCTGTAGCTACACTCTCCGAAGCTTGATTTTGTAGACCCTGGCTCATGCCCCCCATGCATGACCGGACTACGACTCGGACAGAGATTGATAGGCTGACTTATGGGTTCACCCTGCATAACTTTAATAATCGTGCTTTCTTACTTGTGACAGGGATCTTGCCAGTATTGCAGGTGCTTCAGTAGCTAGAACAACTAGAATAAGGCTTTGGGTGGGGGGGGGTACACTGCAGTAGAGTTACATAGGAACTATAAGCTAGGACCCCCATAGTGACTATAAACCTGGAAGCCTGAAAGTTAAAGGAAACTACCGGTGGGGAGTTTAGGGCATATAGCTACGCTTCTATAAGGCTTCTTTCAGGTATATAGACCTTCTATAAGGCTCCTGCAATGGTAACTACCCACCTGAAAATGTCCTAGAGAAAGGGTCCTTGAACTCTTTCACCAGGTTTCTGAAGGCTGCGCCGAACGCCTGGAGTTGGCCAGGTTCGCACTTCAGGGTTTTAGGCCTTGCAGTAGGGCCTAGCAGGGTTTTAGGGTTTAGGGTTTAGGGTAGGGCCTGACAGGGTTTGCCCTAGGTTTTGATGCAGCCGAATACAACCAGCTTGCTGACTAGGCTTGCAAGACTACATGGACAAGAAAAGGAGCTAACTTCTCTCGTTTCCTTGCATAGCAGGCATGTCAGTTGTCCAAGAATTTGAGAAAGGACTAGACTAAAGTGTGCAGGGGCCAAAATCCGAGTCCCCTTCCAATTTCAACTGGGGTTGAAGTTGAGCTGCACCTCACAGCGTGTACCCCAAAAGCCTAAACCCCAAACCCCTCCACACCCCAAGTCACCGAGCTGAAGCATCGATTCAGGACTCTTAGGGCTCAATCCTTAGAAGGATTGTATGGTTCAGGGTCCCCAGGGATGGGAGACTTTAGAATTCGTGGCTCAGGGTTTGAGTTTAGGGTTTAGGGCTTAGGGTTTAGGGCTCAGGACCCTCAGGGCTATACAGTAGGGCTTATGTGTTCGCGCTCTAAGGCCTTTGCTACTGGTGTGTCGGTCACGAACCTTTACCTACCTTCTGACCATCAGTTCCAGCTCTGGGCTCTGGCGTCACGAAGAGTCGTGGCTCTTGAAACCCTGCCCATAGGCCCTTAAGTAGTTCCTTTTTGTGGCTTATATTTAGAACCCTATAAGGTAATCCCAAAAAAGAACTACTTAGGAGCCTATGGGTAAACCTAAGACCCTAAACGTTCCAGGCATTCCGGCTGAGGGCCATAGGGCTGGGTCGTCGGCACACAACAGGGTAAGCTTTAACAGCATTGGGGAGCGCAGCTCGCGTCATTTCATCTGCGGGTCAATAACCATATACTCCTCAAGCTTGCTTGCTTCCTTACTTACAGACTTACTGACTTACTTACCTACTTACTTACTTACTTACTTACTTACTTACTTACTTACTTACTTACTTACTTACTTACTTGGAAACAGACTGCTGAAACTCCCAGCCCTGTAAGCTAAGCTTCTAGCGGCACATTCTCAAACAAGCGACCAGAGTATTCGGATGGGTAGATCTTAAGCGGTCATTGGAAGCTGGAATTTCAGGAAACCAGCGGCTAAGTGTGTCCCAAAGCAGGCCAGGTGTCGCACTGTCTCCAGGAAACGGCTTCGGGCGACCAGGGCCTGTGCAGGTTAGGTATCTTACCTACAGTCTCCATTGTAGTTCCTTTTTGGGGGTTACCTTTTGGGATCCTTGATATAAATCTGGTTAAACCAAAAAAGGAACTACAATGGAGACTATAGGCAGGTCCTGAAAAGGATGCAGAGGATTGTGTCTGGCTTGTTACTTTCAGTACCCTAAACCGCCTAAACCCTATAGACCCTAAACCCTAGTCGCGTGCTTTGCACGATGATTGTAAACAGGGGTTCAGTTCAGGAGTCCAAGATCCGGTTCCTCGTGGGGGCTGGATTTCTGGGTGTTGCATCGTTGCAGTGTTACCTGGCTGAAAAGCCGAAACCACCGAAGCATGGGGCGAACTTTTCCATTGGTGTCGGCCAGCATCACGAACATCAGCTACTCTGCTCTGCGACTCTCTCCACTGGGGCAGAGGCATCACCGGGCTACTGTTTCTGCACGGCACGGGCGAACACCATGAGCATCAGCTGCACCGTTCTTGCTCCCGCTTCCTCTGTGTCAACCGCAACTGTCAGTGAGCATCACGAGCTGCTCTGTCTTGGCCCGCACGCCCGAGAATCATCAGGATATATACATATACCCAGAGACTCCAAAACCCCTTAATTAAGGAATCTACATTAACAATATAATAAGAACCCTAATAAGATTTAAGGAATATTCCTTAATTAAGGGATTTTGGAGTCTCTGGGTACACATAAACAAACATCTCAGTCAATATGGCCCACACCTGGGATCCTGAGCACCCGCTGCAATCGCTCGAATAAAACTCACACCAGCTTCACTCGCTCCAGCTACGATTCTCCGTACTTTGGTCGGAAATCACTGGGCATGAGCTGCAGTTCTTTTTGTATGGCACAACTGGGTTTGGGGTTTAACATGTAGGTTGAGCAT